CGATGATGCTAAGCGGAATTGGTGTTAACGGAAAGATGAGATCGGAAATCGCCATATTGGCAATAAAGTAATTTGTAGTCTTCTTTAAATCTTTTCGCCGGTAGAATATGATGATAATAACAGTGTTTCCGATCAAGCTGGATAACAGAATAACACAGAAGAAGACGATCACACTGATATCTAAAGCACGATTATCTCGTATTTGACATGGTATATTGTTCTGGTTTGATGAGGCGTTACTAATGTTCAAAGTCGTCGACATTTTACCACTTACAGTGACTATCAACGCACAAACTAGGTCGAAACGGTACAATCAAAATCATTTCATACAGTCAAACCCTTTTAATATATACGGACACTGAGGGGGCGATAGGGGGCCGTATTATAAGCGGATTGAATTTAGAGAAAATGACGGCTTTCTTTCCCCGGGGACAAAGCAAACTGTCCGTAATAACGGGGTGTCCGTATGAAGCGGGTGTGTGTAAAGCGGGGTTTGAGGGTGATAACATTATCATTTGATCCAGAATGAATCTTACATATAAATTTAGCCGAAGCTACGGTTAATAAAAAAACATTGCAAATAAAGAAATTCTAGTCATAATGAGAATCTCACTTGTAATCAAAACTATCCAGCCAGATCAGTGAAATCCTAAATAGCATGCACGAAGGAGATGGTGTTTCAATAAAGACTCTTGGGAAAAAGCATTTTTCATTGTCAAAATGACTGGTCCGGCCATGGTCAAGCCGGTCAGTAACTGACTCTTGATAGCCCCCATTAAGACAAAGAGGGACAGTTGGTTTTAAAATAACAACAACAACAACAAAAACAAGTTGGTGAGGATTGCGAGATAGTAATTTTGTACACTTGGTTAAGACAAGTCGACATATATATTGGTCTAATAATAGTGAACTTTGTAAAAAAGCTCTAATTGCAAGGATCATCAAGCAGCGCCTCTTACAATTTTATTAACGGTTTAATTAACATCCTGGAAGATTGCTTTAACCAGAGATGTCTTGGCTTTTCACCATGAGGCGTTCGACTACAGTCAACAACAAATGGCGGGATTAAATAACTGTTAGTAAAAGAAAAAATTAATTGGTTTTTTATATCTTGAAAAGTTAATTTTGAAATTTTCATCTTTTTTGTTGCATCAATGGATTAATATTCAGCACTTACAAAAATTAATAAAAATTTTAATGGTGTTTACATACGGCTAGGAATTAAATAGAGTTAAAAGTGCACCTACACACAGTGTTATCACATGTCTTATACGTTTATTTTTAATAAGTCCTGGATTTTTAAGGTGGTTGATTTTCGCTGTGAACATCTGTTTCATTGTTTGCAAATACAGACATTGAGAATTACGCTAAACCCTTCCTTTAACAACCGGGAACGCTTGGTTTGATAATCTTGGATATTTTTTCAAAAACTGGAGGACCGCACAGAAGAAAGGTGACCGCGAATGGATGACAGACCGCTTACTGGAACAATTTTTGGTAGAGATTTCAAACGAAATTTGTGTTTAGACAGACCACGGCCGAATTACGAGTATCCAATCAGAGAGCGCACTCAAGTAGATTAAGGCCTGGTTCTACGTGATTTGCGATTTTTATGCAAATTTTCCAAAAACTATTGTTAAAGACATCCTCCTTGAAAAACAGGTGGTAAAGTAAACTAACCTTAACAAAAACTTGAAAAATGTGTTAACGGAAAGATGAGATCGGAAATCGCCATATTGGCAATAAAGTAATTTGTAGTCTTCTTTAAATCTTTTCGCCGGTAGAATATGATGATAATAACAGTGTTTCCGATCAAGCTGGATAACAGAATAGCACAGAAGAAAACGATCACACTGATATCTAAAGCACGATTATCTCGTATTTGACATGGCATATTATTCTGGTTTGACGAGGCGTTGCTAACGTTCAAAGTCGTCGACATTTTACCAAAAAGCAGTTCATCCACTTACAGTGACTGTCAATGCACAAACTAGATCGAAACGGTACAATCAAAATCATTTAATACAGTCAAAGCCTTTAAATATATACGGACACTAAGGGGCCATAGGAAGCCGTATTAACGGGGTGTCCGTATTAAGCGGGTTGAATTTAGAGAAAATGACAGGGCTATTTTCCCCGGGGACAAAGCAAACTGTCCGTAATAACGGGGTGTCCGTATTAAGCGGGTGTGTGTAAAGCGGGGTTTGAGGGTAATAACATTATCATTTGATCCGGAATGAATCTTACATATAAATTTAGCCGAAGCTACGGTTAATGAAAAAACATTGCAATAAAGAAATTCTAGTCATAATGAGAATCTCACTTGTAATCAAAACTATCCAGGCAGATCAGTGAAATCCTAAATAGCATGCACAAAGTAGACGGTGTTTCAATAAAGACTCTTGGAAAAAAGCATTTTTCATTGTCAAAATGACTGGTCCGGCCATGGTCAAGCCGGTTAGTAACTGAGTTTTCATGGGCGCCATTCAGACAAAGAGGGACAGTTGGTTTTAAAATAACAACAACAACTACAAAAACAAAGTTGGTGAGGATTGCGAGACAGCAATTTGGTACACTTGGTTAAGACAAGTCGACATATATATATTGGTCTTATAATAGTGAACTTTGTAAAAAATCTCGAATTGCAAGGATCATCAAGCAGCGCCTCTTACAGTTTTATTAACGGTTTAATTAACATCCTGGAAGATTGCTTTAACCAGAGATGTCTTGGCTTTTCACCATGAGGCGTTTGACTACAGTCAACAACAAATGGCGGGATTAAATAACTGTTAGTGAAAGAAAAAATTAATTGGTTTTTTATATCTAGAAAATTTAATTTTGAAATTTTCATCTTTTTTGTTGCATCAATGGATTAATATTCGGCACTTACAAAAATTAATAAAAATTTTAATGATGTTTACATACGGCTAGAAATTAAATAGAGTTAAAAGTGCACCTACACACAGTGTTATCACACGTCTCATACGTTTATTTTTAATAAGTGCTGGATTTTTAAAGTGGCTGATTTTCGCTGTGAACATCTGTTTCATTGTTTGCAAATACAGACATTGAGAGTTACGCTTGGTTCGATAATCTTGGATATAATTTCAAAAACTGGAGGACCCCCCAGAAGAAAGGTGACCGCGAATGGATGACAGACCGCTTACTGGAACAATTTTTGGTAGAGATTTCAAACGAAATTTGTGTTTAGACAGACCACGGCCGAATTACGAGTATCCAATCAGAGAGCGCACATACACTCATTACGAGCTTAAAGCTTGGGCACGTCCGAGCCAAAACCACCACCACTACCATAGCACCTTTCTTGGAATTCATTTGCAGACTTGACGGGTTCAAGGAAAATCGTTCTTTTTCCCGCTGGATTTAATGAAATGAAAACTATTACAGAAAAACCCTGATAATATGGCCACTAGTAGGCCATAGGGAGTTGGTCTTATCAAAATGGTAGGGTCATATTCATTCATGGCTCCTTGGTCTTTTCCTGGTTAATAATTTATTGTTATTGTTTATCAAGATTTATTTCGCCTACCATTTGGCCTTCTGCAGACGGTTAGTCACGCGGTACAAAACCGTCATGCTGAGACGCGAAGGAAAGCACTGGGACGAGACAAGTTTGCGGGAAAATCCGGTTAAAAAGTAAACGGAACACGACGTTTTGCGTCGTTCCGGCAGAAAATTTCCTGGAGCAAAGGAACTTCGTGTTCCGTTTCTTTAAAACTATCTTTCAGTCCAGTTTTAAGGCCTTCACGGCCGTTTGTCGGTAGATACCGATTTGTACAAATGGTAAGTGCGATTCTGGGACGAAATTTACCAGTCCGAAAATTTTGCTTACCATGATTTGCCCAAACCGTGCACCGNGAATTTGTAAAGAACCAGGCCTTAATCTACTTGAGCACATACACTCATTACGAGCTTAAAGCTTGGGCACGTCCGAGCAAAAACCACCACCACTACCATAGCACCTTTCTTGGAATTCATTTGCAGACTTGACGGGTTCAAGGCAAATCGTTCTTTTTCCCGCTGGATTTAATGAAATGAAAACTATCACAGAAAAACCCTGATAATATGGCCACTAGTAGGCCATAGGAAGTTGGTCTTATCAAAATGGTAGGGTCATATTCATTCATGGCTCCTTGGTCTTTTCCTGGTTAATAATTTATTGTTATTGTTTATCAAGATTTATTTCGCCTACCATTTGGCCTTCTACAGACGGTTAGTCACGTGGTACAAAACCGTCATGCTGAGACGCGAAGGAAAGCACTGGGACGAGACAAGGGTGGTTTACCATTTACAAAAAGTTTGCGGGAAAATCCGGTTAAAAAGTAAACGGAACACGACGTTTTGCGTCGTTTTGGCAGAAAATTTCCTGGAGCAAAAGAACT